TGACAGTTGATAAGACGGTACACTTTGAATATCGGAAATACCAACTTGAATATAAAAGCAAACAACTACATGTATCTATTTCCACATTACGGTTTATTGTGAACAATATGCCATTCAAACACTTGAAATTACATAATAGACATCCGGGAGTGTTACCAGAACAGAACAGTTTATTTCTCTCCAAACCACCGGCGGTGTTACAAAATAGTACAAAAGAGCAAGCATGTAAACAAAGTATTAATATGTGACAAGATGACAGTATGTCATGCATGGATGTGTTATATCTTTTCTGTTTTTTTTTCTGTTTTCTTACTGCTTTAAATATTTCATCAATAATATTTCATCTCGATAGGTTCTTTACAGACAGACAGACAGACAGACAATAGTTTATTAACGTCTCACTCCTGTACATACATAAAAGAGCTTTATACAACCTGACATAGATAAAATGTACAGAACCATTCAATAGAATTATGAGAGACGAATTATCACAGAATTTATACATAAATGATATAAAGATGATATAGTAAAAAGTTATCCATATAAAAGATGTTTTCTACGATTAAGAATTAAAAAGCAGACTTTGGCAAGTATAAAACACACACTGGAGTCACTGAAAATAAAACAAAGTTTGTCGACATCAGGCATATCTAAAACATTATAAGATTTAGCAATACATTCATTAAAAAGAGTTGCCCTGATATCATCATATAATGCGCAGTGAAACAAAACATGGACCTCGTCTTCTACGCTGTCATTACAGTGAAAACATCTTCTATTATTGACAGGTACACCTTCGTATCGACCGGTTTCCACTCGAATAGGAGCCACACCACATCTAAACTTGGCTAGTGCCGATCTATAGTTTCTGGGCATCTTATTTGAAACATAGTATTCTGTCCGATATACTTGTTTGTAACAATATACCCCAGTGGTCGGAATTTGCTTTGATCTGAGCAGAGACTGTGTCGTTTGAATTAACAGAGTACGCTCCATCCACAGGCCCTTTGTTTACATTGCTGGGGTGAGGACTTCCAGGTTGATGACCTCTACTCCGGAAACAGAATAAACATTGATATAACCTAAGGTTATTTTAGGAATACACTATTGTTTTTGAGGAAGTATATACACTCCTTAGCGCTATTAAGCGGTGTTATTTGCTGACTGTTTTGATAACTGAGCCTAGGAGCGGGATATCCCATAAAACTCCTAAATAGGGCCATAAATCAATCAATTACTTTTGACGCAGAAACCCGTGTTTTGTCATAAAATCACCTACGTCTGTAAAGTTTAATTATGTTTAAGTAGATAGTGAGAAGATTTTAACATTCCCTGTATGTGTATGATTTGAAATGTGACTGGAAAAATCTCAGCCCTCTTTTACGATCTTTTAGAATTAAAACTCACCTCGGTCTCTACTCTCGGGTTTTTCAAGAGCGATGCCTTCTGCTCTGATGCCCTTTAGCGTCGATACAAACAGACCAGGGGCAATGCTAACTTTTGACAATAAATAAGATATATTTGTACATTCTTTCTCAATGTATTTTATGACATTGTAGGCCAATTCCCGAGTCTGAGAATGTATGATTTGGCCTTGCTTACCTAGCTTTGACATGGATTACCAGTAATATGTACCAGACATATTAATAACTGTTATCCAGGATTAATTTTGATGACGGATGTGTGAGGTGAGATAAGGTGACTAATGCCGATCTTTCGTGGTAGCCCACTGAGATACCATGCCGCAGTTTAACATGAATACCCCACTCAGACACAGTATACTGACCCCGAGCCGACCAGTCCTTGTTTTAGCCTCTTCATGCCGAACACCAGGCAGGGAAATAACAAGTACCATCTTTTAACGTCTTTTGGTGTGAGGTTTAACCTTACGCTCACCGGGCGGACACTCTACCACTGGACCAGGGTGGCGGGGTCCATGTCCACATTTTCCATAAACCATTACATTCGAGATACAATATTTCACCCCTATTAAGATCAACGGATTGGACCGCCCCCGTGGTCTTGTGGTAGAGCGGAAGGTCCGGAGTTCGATCCCCGGCCGCGTCATACCAAAAGACGTTAACAGATGGTAATTGTTGTTACCCTGTCTGGCGCTCGGCAATAAGGGGCTAAAACCAGGTCTGGTCGGCTCGGAGTCAGTATGCTGTGCCTGAGTGGGGTATTCATGTTAAACTGCGGCATAGCATCAGTCCGGACTAGTACAAGCAGCCACACACGTGCATGCACGTCGCTATATAAGTGCAATAATCTTGGACGCGACGTTAAACCCAAATTCACCTCACCTGTTTGTTTGGGGTCATATTGTTACTGGCGCTTTTGCATTGGGTGGTATCATAGGATGATATGACGGTGTAGAAGAGAATATGTCATACTTGTTAACATGCTTTGTTTGTTTGTTGTTTAACACCGCACTCAGCAATATTCCAGCCATATGACGGCGGTCTGTAAATAATCGAGTCTGGACCAGACAATCCAGTGATTGACATCATGAGCATCAATCAACGCAATTGGGAAACGATGACATGCATCAACCAAGTCAGCGAGCCTGACCACCGATTCCGTTAGTCCCCTCTTACCACAAGCATAGTCGTCTTTTACGACAAGTATGGGTTGCTGAAGACCTATTCTACTACGGATATTCGCGGGTCTGCGAACATGTGAATGTGATCCTGGGAAATATGTCATACCAGTGAATACGTCATACTGGTGAATGTGTCATGTCGATGAATGACACCCGGTGTATTGTTATCATGCTGAGCCTGAATAAGTTGGTTGGTTGGTTTGTTGTTTTACGCCGCACTCAGCAATATTACAGCTATATGACGGCGGTCTGTAAAATTATCGAGTCTTGACAAGACAATCCAGTGATTGATATCATCAGCATCGATCCACGCAATTGGGATCGATGACCTGCATCAACCAAGTCAGCGAGCCTGACCACCCGATCCCGTTAGTCGCCTTTTACGACAAGCATAGTCGCCTTTTACGGCAAGCATGGGTTGTAATGTTGAAGACCTATTCTATCCCGGATCTTCACGGGTCGGGCCTTAATAAGACTATAGGTTCGCTTTGCAGCTGAATACACAACGTACTTGTATTCTTTCTTTTATTCAGGGGGCGGTCGGGTAGCCTAGTGGTTAAAGCGTTCGCTCGTCACGCTGAAGACTCGGGTTCGAATCCCGACATGGGTACAATATGTGAAGCCCATTTCTGGTGTCCCCAGCCGTGATATTGCTGGAATATTGCTAAAAGCGGCGTAAAACCAAACTCACTCACTCACTCTTTTATTCAGTTCTATACAGGCCACAGTCCCTTTGTGCAAAATGTATGACGTATTTATGAAAACAATGACAATGATAAAATACGTAACTATTCTTTCTTCTTTACTTTGATACAAATATTTAGCGATATTAATGATGAGCTTTGTACTAACACAACCTATACAACTTCAACGATTTTAACAAAATATTTGAAGTAACGAATGATTCGATCCACTCGACAAGAACGCGTACATAACATGAAATATTTCGTTTCGCTGATTCAGTCAGTTTAAGGATTGCTTCAAGCGGCTGTAAATATATAACATCGCCAAAGGTAGAACGCGTTAACATTCATACATTTTTAGGAACGACATTTACGCATCAATGAATCGTGTAAAGGCCACACATTGGTTCATTATTCAGCCTTGCTTGACGAGGGTATAAGGATCTATACCGAAACGTCGCCAGTGAATAACGAAGTTGTTATCCATTGTGTCCACCACGTCATCCGCCAACTTCTAAGTAATGCCTACCAAACAATTTAAGAAGCTGGTGAGGTTTTCAGATAATATTTAGCAGCTTAGTGAAAATGGATATGTAGTTACAGTTATAAAAATTAAGATAGTAAAATATGTGAAACTATTTTATGTAAAAACTGTGATTAAGACCGATGGTTCTGCAGCACGCGCATGCAGGAATTTGACGTGTGCCAAAGTATTTAACGTATTTAATTTTACAGACGAATTGTATACTGCACACAAACGTTAGGGATAATTTTTTGGATATTTTGTTGTAGTGAAGAAATGAGCAAACAATTTCATAAAAACATATCACCCAAAATATTCAATCACTGGATTGTCTGGTCCAGACTCGATTATTTACAGACGCCGTCATATAGCTGGAACATTGCTGAGTGTGGCGTTAAACAAGAAAACAAACAAACAAAGAAACATTTACCGAGGCGCATCTGACTATTGCAGCTTGTCCCCTTCACTGTGGTTGGTGGACCTTGAATTTAACACGACAATCCCAATCATGGCAGGGTGTTTCTATTGACAACACATTCAGTAAACGCGTTATCGTGTCACTCGATTATTTACAGACCGCCGTCATATAGCTGGAATATTGCTGAGTGCGGCGTTAAACAACAAACAAACAAAATATGCATGATTCCTAACGTTTTTATTCAGTATATTTACAGTGCAGGAACCATCAACTGCATGCAAAAAGTCTCACAACGAACGTGTACATAAATTGATGTGCATTTCTTTAAACTCCGCACAGCGGAATCTCGTCCTCAACGAAATCACAACAACTGCTCATTGAGATCACTGGGCGTTGCGACAGTGTCATGACACAAGGTGGACTTTTGATAAGAAATATCAGATCAATTGTTATTAACCTCTTAAATCACCCTTCCTTGCACCCCACCCACCGTGAACGTCATGGCTGCATTCGGGATGGTCCGGAGATATTCAACGTGTATAACCCCGCCTTTATTAAAGTCTACTTTTGATATTCAGCTTGTCAGTGTTGAATAATAATACAGTTTAAGCTACTCTGAAAAAAGACTTTATTAGCATCTCAAGGAATGCCAGACAACATACAAACTCAAAGGACATCAGCAATCTGTGAACACAACGTGAATATTGATTTACCCTTAAATCCACCCGTATAGGCTCATTATTAGACTTCCACGCCTGTGAACAGCCCGAGGTTTTTTCCCCAACACTGCTCAGCACTTGTTTGCACTGATCGGTGGCAACAACGAGACGGTTACCCGGTATTGGCTGACTGATAATAACGGGTGCCCTCGCCCACTTCCACCCGTTTGTTGACGGGTTTCTATATACACCCAAACTAGGCCAAACCGTTATTTAGGGCACATCTATTCGCCTGCCGTTGAGGTGTGGTGAAGAAATGAATGAACACTTCGGAACAAGTTCGTGAGAGGAGTGGTCACTTGGATATCAGTAACAAGGGAACAGTTTGTTAAGAGACCATTTAACCCATTTGTGTTATAAAGGTAAGACTGTCATCGAAAAGGTAATAGTAAGTTTTAATGTATCTCTTATGTTCATTAAGTAAGACATTGATATATGTTCCATATTCTTAATATACATATAAACTTTCAGTTTTTATTTAATATTCGACTATGTTAACAATTGACACATGTATATTTCTGATTCAGGTTAATTAGTGGTATATATCATATTAATATATACATTACACATACATATCTTAATCATTCGCGGCTCCCATTTCAGTACTATAACAATCAACGACGTTAATCATTCTAAAAAAAACATGTCAGTGTTTGATCAAGTAATTTGATCAAATAATTTGATCATTTCCATTCCAATCAGTAATGAAATTGTCTGTATGTCCTGTATGCCACTCAAAAGAAGTTAAAGAACAACCGATTCTTTCATATCACTATTGTTAATTTGCCATGACAGATAAATTGTAATGGAAGAACGAAAAAGAAGAAAAATATTTATTAACGTGTCACTGGATGCAAAAAACAGTAAAGTGGTGAATATGACATGAATTAAAGATACATCCACCGGCCAGCATTGACCCACGAGACACGAATATACGTGTTATATCAATAGTCAAAATAATTTAAAAAAAATATACATCAATCCATTAAAACGGGATTAATTGGGCAGTGACGTGATATTAAGAGAGTGTGTGACAACGACGCTTATACATTTTTGTTAGTAATACGGTTAAATTATTACATTGTGAATCATTATTCATTATATAATTAAACTTGTCTGAGTCATATATAAATATAGTTAACTGAAAGCATCGGGTGTCCTTTGACAGCTTTTGTTCAGTCTATGGTTCAAATAGCCTCACGCTTAACGCTTTGGACCGATCACGCTCATAACCCTTTCACAGCCGTCACTGATCACGCTGACGACGTTGTCACAATGAAGTTAAACACCGCCCTGTAACTAGTTATGAAAGTGTATATTATGTAGCAACGCATACCTCTCTTTGAGTGAAATATCGCCCGGCATCGTCGAGTCAGTCGTGTTGAACGTGACATGGTCTGGGTTGGATATTTCAAACGCGACTGTTGAAATGGCGCGATCTGAAATGTAGTACTCCTTTCAAAGGCAGATAATGTATTTCTGTGAATTAACTGCCATGGATTGTCAGACAAGGTGTGTGCATAATAACACGGTTTCATTACAACGAATTTAATAGCGTACTTTAATTCATATCATATTATATGTTATTTTCTGAAAGTATGTCACCGACTAACTTGTATTCATGATGGTATATATCATAAAGATTAATGAGTCACTACGGTTGTATAATATCAGAAAAACTGCCACAGCTATGAATAGGCAATCACAATGAGCAAAGGAACAGATCGAACCACTTGGTGAATAGTATTCATATTTCCCGTGAGAATTTGCTACTGTCAAAGGAATTTACATTTTGTTTTTCATGTCTTGTGATCACCGATACATGAAGCTATACAGTGAGTGTGACATTGTCCTAAAAATACGTTGATACTCTGCTCAGTGTGACATCTTGTGTAGTCTTGGTTGTGAAGTTTCGAATTTTCCAAATTGGTTTGAAATTCAAGTTATAAATAATATAGATTGGTTGACCGCCTGTGTGACCTTCGACCTTCGTGTGACCTTCGACCAAACACCAGTGCACTTTAAATCATCCTCGATTGTCCAGTGTATTATATCTCCATTTTATTCGGATAAATACCCTGGACCCATTCGCTGCCATGCTTCGTTTCAATAGCACGAAAATAAACATATCCGTCAAATCCCTGAAGAGTGACTGAAAGTCTACTATGCTAACTTAGTAGACAGGAGGATAGTGGCAGTGACGTCACTTCCGAAACGAAGCTTTGGGAGCGAATGGGTATCATAAACAAATGTAGACAAGTGTGCCATACCGACCCTGAAACAAATGTATCTAATCGGTCCATACAAGCGTATAATATTTGGCAAGTCTAGATTACTGCAGTATCAGGCTGAAAATAGATCGAGTCTCTGGGCTCCTTTTTATTATATTTCATAACTATAATTTAACAACTGTTTTTTCTTTAAAAATATGTTCATTTCAGAGACTAGATGTTAGTCTATATGTTGACATAATACACTTGATATTCCAGGATAATTTAAAGTGTATCATACATTTACAATTAAGGATAACTTTAAATATCCAACGAAAAAGCGACTGGAGTTACCATATAAATAAAAATAAAAAGATCACATCTAATTTGCCTTTGGTATATTACGCAAGAGGCGACATCCTTAACACACGTTTTTTTTTTGTCTCGGTATACATACTTTGAGAAAATTAGTATCAGTATGTAAAACAATTCATGTCAGTCGAATTTTATATTTAAACACATATTCCGCATCAAATAATCATTTTACGCACATATTTCTGTTCACGTTTTGTCTTGGTAAACAAAGGTTAGTCTCCCAAACATAATGACTTCTGTACCGATCCTAGGAAATATCTATGTAAGATTCAAATTAAGAATAATCCCCCATTATCCCATGTGTGTTGTAAGATCCGACAAGAAAGAGGATTGGTTGGTCAGACTCTGTGATTTGACTGATCCCGTGTAATCCTGCCTCCAGGGGTCAACCGTTGCTCATTATATCATTCACTGGTTTGCCTATCCCAGACTCGATCAAAACAAGCTGCCGTAATATAACTGCAATATTTCTATCAGCGGTCTTAAACAAAATTCACCAACTCACCCTGGATGAGTGAGTGAGTGAGTGAGTGAGTATGGTTTTCCGCCGCTTTGAGCAAAATGCCAGCAATATCACGGCGGGGACACCAGAAATAGCCTTGACACATTGTACCCATGTTGGAAATCGAACCCGGGGTTTCGGCGTGACGAGCGAACGCTTTAACCACTAGGCTACCTGAAGAAATGGTTAAACGGGAATGAGTGAGTTGGGTTTAGCGTCGCCTTGAACACAGTTCAAGTTATATCACGCGTGTCAGCTTTTTTAAAGTGTTAAAACATTACGGTGACGTCATATTACGTCATTCGATATTACGACCTGTTGAATTGTAATAATTCAGCATCTATTCAGTTAAAATGCATTATATTCGCCCAACCAATGCAATGAAGACGGATTTAGTCTTCTTCAACCAGTTTCTATACACCGAACATTCAGTAACGAACGCGTCATGCGGGGATAGTGTCGAGTCATGTACGCTATAAGAGCATTCAAATCTGTTTTAAACTTAGTGTAAGTGCATGTCGCATTCACTTTAGCGACAGTATTGCAACATTATCGCAGGAATGAAGTTGGTATGCGTGTGATATGTTGACGGTGAAGCAACAAGGGTCCCGCGACACACCCATGTCGTCGTTATTTCAATACATCTTCACACACCCCGACACCAACATACGGGCCACGCCCAGATATCCGTGACAGTATTGAGCGGGTGTTGTAATCGTTTGAAACATCTTTACTTATTTCAGTTTTGAATTGAAAGGTACGGGAGTTGTCTTGATAACTCAGCAGTGCAAGTAAACGTGACTGGCCCAAGATTAATTTTGAGCCCCCGTTGATTTGTGTGTTATTTCATAAGGTAATAAAAGGGATTGTTATTAACATGTAAGGGGATAGGGGTCTAAGATTATGAATGGGGTAACAAATAGTTCCAGCTACAGTTGCAAAACCAGATACATGTTTTTAATTTAAACTATGAGCCTATTTTTTTCAAAAAGCACCTTGCAACAATGCAGACAATTTCTTATATTGTTCAACAGTTTGAAGCATAATTATTATTTTTAAGCATTTTCTGGGACAATTAAAATTCCAGACTCCTCTCTCTTACCTGGAAACGATACTTCCCAAGCAGCATATACTGTGTTAGGTTTATATGCACATTAACATCTCATACTACCGGGTACCCATTCTCTGCTGGGTGAACAGAGGCCGCTTTTGAACAGTCATCAACTAAACAACCGATTAGATTAAAATTAAATTAACGAAAACTGATAGGCAAGTGTCTTTTGAATACCGAGCCTTATCCGAACCTAACTTAAACACTTTGTTATAGAATGCAATGAATGTTGGTCGGCTGGTTACAATGTGACGTTTCATTGTGCCGTACCACACCACACGGGCGGTGTTGTTCATGCTATCAACCACTGGGTTGTTTGGTCCAGCACCCATTTACACAAAACTATCCAAGCGAAAATACTATTTAACTCCTGTAAAATAACAACAGAGTTAACGTTAAAGCAGCTTTGTGCACGTGGGCCCAGAATCGAAGCCTGTCTGCGACGTAAAACAACATTACTCCACGTAACATGTAATTGATAGATGGGTTCGTATCCCAGATTCGCCCTGATTATGTTTCTAGGTTTGTCAGAACCGTACCCGACCTCGTCGGTTTCACCAAAGAGGTAAATGTCTGAGACATGCACCCCCATCCAAACTCACCCCCTTACTATAATGGTAAGGGGGTGAGTTTGATTTTTGTGCATGTCTTAGGCGTTTACCACTTTGGTGAAACCGCATCGTATTCCTATTGCGTGGATCGATGCTCATGATGTCAATCACTGGGTTGTCTGGTCCAGACTCGATTATTTACAGGCCACTGGAATATTGCTGAGTGCGGCTTTGAACAAAATGACCCCCCAAAATAATATAATGGTTGATGATCTGTTTTTGTTTTTTTCTCAGATGTCGTCGGTTATAAGCCGCAACGTCGCCACGACGGCTGTGGACGACATGATCATCAACTTTGACTACGACAATAACGACAGGAAGCAGTACTTCCTCCCGGGGGAGCTGATGAAGGGGACAGTCGTGCTGCACCTGCGTTCAGGAATCCGCGTCAACCGCATCGTCATGAACATCAAAGGCATGGCCAACGTCTCGTGGGAGATCCCAGAAAGGAAGAAAACCTACACGTCTAATGAGGTCTACATAGACATATCAAAATCTCTTTTAGACGGCGTCTTCAAAAGTCTGAACCTTGGAAGAGGAACTCACGAGTTTACGTTTAACCATCAGCTACCCGAATCTCTTCCGTCGTCGTTTCGCGGGGTGTACGGCAGCGTGACGTATGTTATGAAGGTGGAGTTGGAGGCGACGAACCCCGTCCACAACACCGTCACAAGTCAGCCGTTCTTCGTCTTCCGTCGGCCACCTTTATTGCGACAAAGCTACCTTCCTAAAGAGCTAAAGAACAGCAAGAGGTTCCTCAGCTGCTGCAACTACGGCAAGGTGAAGGTCTCTTCAGCGTTAACCAGATGGGGAGGCGTGCCAGGTGAGAATCTTTCGGTTAACGCTCAGGTAACAAACTGGAGCGACAGGGACATCCTGCGCATCTTCGCCTCCATCGTCATGACCAGCGTGTACCACGTCAAGGACAAGAAAATTACCTTCAGGGAAATAATAAGTCAACGTGAAGACGAATACGGCTTCAATAACCGTCATGGCCGGCGATGGCGTGCGGTGAAACTACCAATACCACCCTACATCGCCGACACCGACCTCGTCGGCTGCAACATCATGGACGTCACCTACAGCTTTCAGTTCATGGTTGAGCTTGACGACTACAACCTTGATGTCGAGGGCCCTGTCGTCATCGGGGGGCATCCCCTTGGGTACGGTCCGGCGTCCGACGCCATAAGTCTTGCACGGCCGGCGTCCGAGATCCGAGACTTCCCCAACTACGGTCGCATGGGTCGCAGCATCGATGATTTCAGCGAGGATATCTTCTTCGACAGGTGATGAGTGAAACATGTTTCGAGGATTTCAGAAATTGATTTATGTATCTAAAGGAGCGAAAGTGTTTGAGGATACCTTCCGGATGCGTGTGGAGAATTGCCGACGTGAGAGCTTTACTGAAATAGATATTATATTTATATCGATGCCAATCACTTTCGCAACATTTGAGATTTGGTTGAGGCTGGATTATTTGTGCAATTAGTGGACACTCGTGAGACTCAAGGGCTGCACGCAGGATAACATATATGTCCTATACACCAAGCTACGCATATTCAGTGCAATAGAGAATATATTTAGCTTAGTTTCATCCCCGATACACAGCAATGCTCCGTGCGTCTCGCCTGACGCATGCGCCTGGGTTCGAAGGATGGGGTCGGACCCCTCCGATGTGAAGCAAGGATCACAGATTTGTGTGACATAACGTGATTAGCGCCAGTTTAATCCTGTTCAGGAAACAGCTGGTGTGGAAACATTGTGTCATCCTCGGTTGTGCAGGGTATTATATCTACATTTTGTTACGATACGTACTCTGGATCCATTCGCCACCAAAGCTTCGTTTCGGAAGTGACGTCCCCATTGCAAACTCTGTTATCATCAACATGGCACAGTATGTCTCTCGCACACATGTGATGTTTTGACGTCTGTTTGTAGCGTCATGTAAGTTAATCAGGCTGAAATGAAACTACTGTAGCGAATGAGTACACGGCGTATGTCATAATAGAATGAAGCTATGTGTGATCAGCTGGCGGTGTTGATAGCAGGACAGCCATCGTTCTATTATCAGACTAACATCTAGTCTCTGAAACATATTTTACAGAAAAAATACCAGTTGTTAAAATATAGTTATAAAATAGATTAAAAAGGAGCCCAGATACTTTCTTCATTTTCAGCTACTGCAGTAATCTAGACTCGCCAAACATTATAGACTTGCATGGGCTGTATTGTATATACTAGTATTTGAGTCTGCGTGACTTACTATTATCTTGTGAACTTGTAATATAATATATATGCGATGTATTTTACAACTCCTAGCATAACGTTGATATGTTCTTTGTCCAGTTCTAGTATTGGCAGAGAATTGTCCCAGATTGGGCATATAAACCCTTCAATGAACAATTTCAAGATACTATCAACGTTTGCAGTTTGGGCAAACAATGGATATCGGGTGTTGTAGCGATAGATCGACTCTGCTATTATTTATAATTTACCATTTATCCATGACTTTGTATTTGTATGTCTTTGTAGCTCGTCTGTGAATCAGTACTAGCGAACCTATTTATTTTGTTTGTGGAGGGCTTGGAGCTGAGGGGAGACACGGACGGTTGGGCGGTAGGGGAGAAAGCTGGGTGTGTTGGAATGGAAAAATGGGATTGGAGGGGTGGGGGGTCTTTATATGTGTTTAAGCTTTTTTGGGGGGTTATACTTCACACATCTGTAAGTAATGAGTATATCATTAAACATCCAAAATATGATTTCACTATTTCAGAATATATATGTGCTAACACCTTCCTCCTGTGGAAGCAGTTAGCATATTCTCCAAAACGTTGTGTTCCTCATAATAAAGAAGCTGACATCCATAAATTCTCTCTCTAAAATGTTTCTGTGTTCAGAGGGGCCGAAGATGAAACAAACACATCTTTCTCAAGTTTCAAACACAAATTATGTCTTGCAATTTGTGTTTTCTTTATCTATGTTATGCTCAATATACGTTTATTGTCTTACAGTAATAGATATACAACAGATTGAACAGATTCAAAATTGACCTTTTGCAAAGTGACTAATGTACTTTAAAATGGCATCACACTAATCTGATCTGTCTCGACATGTGGTTTCTTGTGTACAGAATAACAAAATAAAAAGCCATTAAGTTCATATCATGATTATTTTTAATCCCAATCAATTTATATGATCACAGCAACTTGTGACTTATAGGTCAAAATATATGACAAAATATCGCAAATACAGAGCGTGTTATGCAGGTCTAGGAAAAACCAAAGCTCGCCTATAATTCCCTTAAGCGAAGTGTTGTTAATACCTAATACATGTTTTCTCCATAACGCTTGGTTGTGTTGTATTTTCGCGCGTAGGCGAAATATTTTATTTTGAGATAAATAAATTCTCGAAACATTTGTTGGCTAAGATTTTACTTATGAAAGTCTGGGTATAAGGGAAACTAAAACAGCCGCACTTATCATTACAGTCGGATATTTTTCTCAACTGAAATATCGCAAATTAATTTTAGCTACACGCTTTGGAACTGAGATATTCTCCGATTGACCTATAATACTCCGATTGAATAATTATACCCCGATTTACAGTTATCCTTGACTTGTTATGCTCATGATGTCAATGACTGGATTGTCTGGTCCAGACTCGATTATTTTACAGACCGCCGTCATATAGCTGGAATATTGCTGAGTGCGGCGTTAAACAACAAACAAACAAACAGATGTTATATGCCCGGGTAAATACACTGTATATCTTCATACAGTTCAACTACACCATATTTAAACATCGATTGTTTTTAAGGTATGATTAAATAATTAGTAAACAAAAATAATAATATTTATTTATAATCCTTATCTACACCCGCACACTGGCCTGCTTTGAACGCCAGGTATTACTGGTAAGCCAGGATAAGTTGAGTTGTGACCCGTGACTGTGTATGAGGTCTGACCGCTGGCGCGTACCATTATGAAGAAAAAGGTAGCGGGAGGTCCGCGACAAGTTGTACGATGGATATGTGGGTGTCTCGGCTAACAACGGGTTCTAACGGTTCTCAATAGCAAAAGTTCAATAGCACTCAATAGTACCTGCTGGTGTGAGGTACCCGATGACTGTGAAAAACGGCGACAACAAGTGTGCATAGATAAGATGAAATTGAGAAGTGTCGTGACAATATTCAGGGAATTCATTTGCCGTAAGCATGGAATACTATTTCAACCCCAGAGAGCAATACTGAAAAGTGTCCTGTCATTCATAAAAGGACAGTGAAGTTTGAAGTGAGTGAGTTTGGTTTTATGCCGCTTTTAGCAATATTCCAGCAATATCACGGCATGGGACACCAGAAATAGGCTTCACACATTGTACCCATGTCGGGAATCGAACCCGGGGCCTCGGCGCGACGAGCGAACGCTCTAACCACTAGGCTACCCGACCGCCCCTGTAAAGTCTGAAACCTTGACGTAGTGATAGTTGGCTCAATGAAAACTCCTTCATTAGTCCCATGTGACTGTTTATTGGGTTTCAGCATACTGTAAAGGTATTTCTTACTGGATTTACATTGAGATAACCAGATACTCGTAGAACTAGTCTTCTCATTCTGATGAGGAACAGAATGCAGGTCCAAGTAGGTACACGGGACCGGATCTGTTAGATTTTGCAAGAAACAGCAGTTCGGCTTTGAGCATCTTGTCAAACGCAGTATCATGCCTTCTGTTCGGTTCCCATCTCGGTATTTTTTTATTGCACGTAATTATAAGTTTTTGTTTGTTTGTTGTTTAACGCCGCACTCAGCAATATTCCAGCTATATGATGGCGGTCTGTAAATAATCGAGTCTGGTCCAGTCAATCCAGTGATTGATATCATGAGCATCGATCCACGCAATTGGGATTGATAACATGCATTAACCATGTCTGCGAGCCTGACCACCCTTTCCTGTTAGTCGCCTCTTACGACAAGCATAGTCGCCTGTTACGGCAAGCATGGGTTGCTGAAGAGAGGGGTGCGATTCTTTTCTATACGAATATATTATGCTAAACACGCTATCATCGAGTTCCTGTGGGTTCAACTTATCCTGGATAACCAGTAGTAGATTTGCAATATAAAAATGTCTATTTTATATAAAGTTGTTTCTTTTCAGTCTATCTTTGTCAACAATGTTATGAATCAGCTTCGTTCTATTCATATACCGAATACCATACACTTGACTGATCCCACTCTATAGACAGATGCTGGCGCATCCACATGGATGTCACAAGAGAAAACTGTCGTCACATCAATGGTATCCCTGTTTTCTGGACAGTATGTCTCGATACAGTATCTAACATTGTCAATACTTGTCACACAAAGATTATAAACGTATTAGGCTCACTTGATTATCCAACGAAAGGCGTCTTGCTGACGGGTGGAACACCCCCACACGGTATAATGGTGTAAGTTATAGGTTGGGTTTCTCTCTTGACAGCACGGGGGGCACGTGCATTAATAGCTACGTCACAATGCCGAGAAAGCATTGTTATCAGAAATAGCCGCACAGCTCAAAAATGTATCTAATCTATTTATGTCGACGTACTCTGTAAATTAATTATTCGATTATCGTATTCTCTTTTCTCTAATGTGTGTACTTAAGTTTGTTTTGAAAGATTACAAGACATGATTATTTGAATCTTTTTTGACGTTATGCTTTTCTTTTTCTGTTGCCGAAAATAGCTAATTTTCACGGTTTTTCTACCAGTGATTCGGTGGTGTCCCGTCCCACGATGTCGACAAACCAATTTACCGAGCTCCCAGACAGACAAAGGTTTATTAATGTCTCACTTCTGTACATTTATAAATCAACTTTGTAGAAGTAAACATTGATAGAATGCACAGAACCATTCAAATGAATTATGAGAGACAACTTACATGGTTTAAGGATGATATAGTAAAACGTTATCCATATAAAATAGGCTTTCGATTAAGAATTAAAAAGCGACCCGTGAAGATCCGGCGTCTAATAGGTCTCCAGCAACCCATGCTTGCCGTAAAAGGCGACCATGCTTGCCGTTAGAGGCGACTAACGGGATCGGGTGGTCAGGCTCGCCGACTTGGTTGATGCATGTCATCAATCCCAATTGCGTGGATCGATGCTCATGATATCAATCACTAGATTGTCTGGTCCAGACTCGATTATTTACAGACCGCCATCATATAGCTGGAATATTGCTGAGTGCGGCGTTAAACAATAAACCAACCATCCAAAAAGAATTTAAAAGCAGACTTTGGCAAATATAAAAAAACTCACTGGCATCGCTGAATATAAAAAAACCTACCCAAAACAAAGTTTGTCGATATCAGGTTTATCTGCAAGCAATATCATTAAAATCAGACCTCAGTTCTCGCTACCGCTAAACAAAGATCTGAGGACATCCCATTAGGGGTCACGTCAGAACGACCTTTCACCCGACCAATCAGAGCATCGCTTACCAGATTATAAAAGTGACAGTCGGAATGTGATTTCTGATCATGCAGCCTCGAAAACTTTAACTCCGAACGATAGTTATGGGTTTAACGACTGTATCAGTCTAGACCATCTATTAGCCATTCCGGAATGTTCTTTTGTTCAGGTTTAAAATTTGTAATCGAGAATTTGTCAAAGTTTCGAAGCGTAGTCGCCAATTTGAAATTAGTGCCGTAAAGCACGAGAAAGCTGCCTTCTGATTGGTCATTCCATTGGTCGGTCAAAGTTCGCGCAAGGTCGGTCTGACGTGACCCGTAATGGGATGTCCTCAGATCTTTGTATAGCTGTAGTGAGAACTAAGATCTGATTTTAATGAAATTGATCTGCAAGGTTCTGAGACTTAACAATACATTCATTATAAAGAGCTGCCCTGATATCGTGATATAATACGCAGTGAAACAAAACATGGACCTCGTCTTCTACGCTGTCAGAACAGTGGAAACATTTTCTTTTTTGGACAGGTATACCTTCATACCGACCCAAAAGTAATGTAGTTCCCGCAGTGTCGACAGTTTGATCACACAGGTGCAATACTCGTCTTGGCTGAACAGTCACCACGCTAATGTGGAGGTTTGGCGATGAGTAAATATTTTCATACAGTTGACGGTTGACATATTCACCATTGACAACATCTTAAGACTTTTTGTTTGATGCGGATGCAGTGTTTAGTGATGTCAAGTTTTCGTCTTCACCCAAACTCTTTGATCAGCTTTGTACTGTTCATGTTGCGTCTGGAGGTCACATGTTCCCGCTTGTGTACTGTTCGTCTACAAATAGGACTGAGCTCACATAGATCAGTACACTACAGTGTGTACAAAAGGAAGCCCACCGTGTTCTCCCACGATGTCAACACAATTTTCCGAGTTCCCACGACAAACCAAATAGTATGGTAGTTCCCGCAGTGTCGAAACAATATTTTATGCTTGTCAAAAATGGAAAAAAATTATTTGGCCTTAGATTTAAAAAACAAACAAATTCATTATTTATTTGGCATTGAATTGACCGTAGTCCTAAAAAATGCATAGTCGTTCCCACAAAAATCGGTTGGGTCTTAAATTTGTTGAAATATTTTTGTCTCAAACAAGTTAGTAAAATGCCACGTTGACATGGTGCTACAGTCGACGATATGTGGACCAGTCCGG